GGAAGCTCAGTAAGGACCACCAAATGGTACATGTGGGAGATGGCAGGGTCTTGGGCTAGGATGATATCAGTGGAGGTAGGGAGAAATGGATAGATTGCGTATGTTTTTTGAAGTGAGACAACAGGACTTGGGGACGTAACAGATGTGGAGAGTAAAGCAAATAGAGTCAAAGATGATGCTTTTGCTTGAGCAAACGAAATGATGGTGTCATTTACTGAGAGAAGACAGCACGGGTGATAAAGGAAAGGAATAAAGAATTCTATATTTGACATACTAATTTTGAGATGCCATGAGATGTCTGGCCAAGTGGAGATGTCAAGTAGGAAGGGATTAGATCTACAAGTCTGAAAGGCTACATTTGGAGCTGCAATATACCTTTGGGAGTTATCAGTGTGAGGATGGCATTTAAAACTTTGGAAGTAGGTAATGCCACCAAGGAAGAGTGCTATGGAGAAGGGGTGGCCATACCTCCCAAGCCTTCATTCTTAATTCTCACATCAACTGATGGACATAGTCATAGATCACAGGATAAGTTCACTCCTTCTGTTCCATTAAATGCAGCAAACATTGTCTTTTCTGTATGAAAGGTGCCCTAAGATACAGAAGCTACAAAAATAGGTGCTAATATATTATGCCATCTGTCAAGTTGCTAAAAAATTGGTAAGGAGAGAAAATTCTAATGGAAAAGGTAGAATACGTTAACGTATTTGCAAGGGAGTGGGGAGGATCTTCAAAAGATAAATTTGGTAAGATAGGATCAGAACAGATCTTGGAGCGTCAAAGAATTAGATTTTTCCTGCTTACAGAACAGGGCACCATTAAAGATTTCTGATTTCCATGATCCCATTAACACTTTTCCTTCTGCATCCATGAATAATTCATCCTTCCATGTCTAGCCCAAATCTCACCTAGTCCATAAAGCATTGCCTATTCTCTGCTCACATACTCTTTTCATCTTTAAGTCCTCCTGTACTTATTATCTAGTGCTAATCCATTTAGCACTTGATACACCGACTCTTTCAGATGGTTTATGACAGGAACATCTTATTTTCTCAACGGGTCTGTAAATTCCTTCTAGGCAGGATCTGACTTAAATCCATAGCTCGGGCTCACGGCTAGGAACACAAGCCCTCAAATAATCCCTGTTGCGATAAGTATCGCCTCTTCAGGGAATTCTTTTCTGACCTAGATGAAGCTCTTTTGTTCTAGGCGTCTACAGAATAATTTCCTTTAGCACACTGCTCAGTTTTAAACTATACACTCCATATGTCACTATGTGAATTGGATCTGCTTTCCCATAGGATGTAAGTCCCCAAAGAGCAGAGATCATGTTTAGTTTTGCTTGCGGTTAGTGTTCCCAGTTTGGATGCAACAAACATCTGCTAAAAATTAAATGAATATGCGTGAGCTTAGGTGTTCAAAGGATGAAAGGGCTTTAGAAGAGTGACCTCAGGAATGGTCCAATTGTCTGCTTACAGTTTCTGAAAGACTGAAATCCACAATGAAAAACTGCTACATGAGTGGGAGTGTCTTCTGATGAACTCCCTTCTGTTTACGGACAAACTATTTCCCAGAGGGTGGCCTTCTATCTGAATGAGGCCCCTTAAAGGCTGATTTATCATCACTTAGGACACTTGAGTCCTCCCTACGGCATAGCTGAGTTGGAGGCAGAGTGTTCCCAACTGTCAGGAAGAATAAGCATGCTGGCAGCAGCCTCAGATCCTCTAGGCAGATGGAGTGACATATGTGTATTTACATATATATATTTCCTAATCAATAGGTTCCAGCAAAAACATGAAAACTCAAGAAAATGATTGGAATTTAAGGGACTCTGAAGGAGTTTAATTCCTTAAAGAAAATTAGGGCCAGGTGCAGTGGCTCATGCCTATAATCTCAGCACTTAGGGAGGCCGAGGCGGGTGGATCACTTGAGGTCTGGAGTTTGAGACCAGCCTGTCTCTGCTAAAAATACAAAAATTAGCTGGGCGTGGTGGTATGCACCTATAGTCCCAGCCACCCAGGAGGCTGAGGCAGGAGGATCGTTTGAACTGGGGAGGTCAAGGTTGCAATAAGCCAAGATCGCGCCATTGCACTCCAGTCTGGGCGACAGAGCAAGACTCCATCTCAAAAAAAAAAAAAAAAAAAAAAAAAGGAAATCAGTGCGATTTTTTTTTTTTTAAGCTGCCGATGACTTTAGGAATAAAAACTAAGAGTATGCTTGAATGATCAAACTTTCCCCACCAAATATGTAAATCTTCTTTTCCAAATTAGGTACTTCTAGCATTTCTTCTAAGAAATGCATTTCCCGGGCCAGCCAAAAGGAGCTTTGAAATCTTCTAACTGTATTTTTGCCCCCCTGCCTGCTTCTGTGACTGTCTCCCTTCACTAGACACACAGGCCTACTTCTTCTGTTTCTCCAACAGGCCGACCTTGCCATTGCTCTTTCCTCTGCCTGGAGTACCCCTCCTAACTTTTGAATGTCTTGGTCCTCATAATTTGGGTCTCAGCACAATGCCCTTTTTGAAGGTGGTTTTCTGACCCCAGTGAATAGATATACACTGCCAGTCACTCTCTGTCACTGTGGAGTCCCTGGCTCATGGAAGAACACTTGGCATATAGCAGGTGGTCAGTAAATACCTGTTAATGAACAAATAGGTTAAGAAGAGCCAATTATGTCCCAGCAGAATCTGATACCCTGTCTGCTGTTTGAGCTACGTGTACTGGAGACAACAGAAATGACGACTTGAAGATTTAGCTTAGCACTTTCTTGTTTTGTGCATGCATGTGATCATCTTCAAGGAACATGGTTTGCAGTTTTATCCACCACAGAACCACATTTTGCTCCTGTCATTCATGTGAAGCTGACCTTGTCACACACTGCTTGTTGCCCACAACCTCCCTTTTTCCTCCTTTCTTAATTACAGAAGCCCAAACTTTGTGACAATGTGTCCAGTTAAAAATACACACACTCCTCTCCGCAGGCTTTCTTACAGTACAGCAGGTAGCCACATCTCCTAGTTCTGGCTGCTGCACAGCAGAAGCTGGGTGAGGCTTCGGGAAAGCTATCACTTTCTCGATAAAAAGGTACAAACTCAGCTGCTGTGTCCTGTGTCCTTTGTCCTTTGACCTTCTACCCTTCTCCCTGTCTGGAATGTAGACGCGATGCTGAAGGTAAAAGAGTCATCCTATGTAGCAGGTGCTGTCAGTGCTCTGCCCATCATTTGTTGACACTCACCATTCTATTTACCACAGGCTTCCTGTTGAAAATTCCTGTTCTCTACCTGAGGGTTTTTGCTAGCTGCAGAATCATGCTGAGCCTATAGATTGCAGCCTGAAAGTGCCGGGGGTTAGTGACCTTGGGAGCGGCCTTTAACTAATGACAGATGGTAGTTGGGGGATAAATATCCCAGCTCTTTGGCCTTGAGGTGGGATAACTCTGAGGCATGAGCTACATACACCTGGGGCAGAAAGAGCTCCCTGAGGTCCCCGGTGGGACTGAACACTAGTTGCCCACAGCAGTAACCCACTCATTAACACACCCTGTGTGCGCTTTCTTCCTTTGCCTGTCTCACTTCCCTATTTCCCTACCTTCCTGGGATCACTTCCCAAATAAACTACCTGCATGTGAATCCTTTTCTCAGGAACTCCTTCTGGGGGAACCCAAACTAAGACATCTTGTGACCTTGAGGATGAAAGCCACATGCTAAGGACAAGAGTGGTCTAGAAAGAGCCTAGTCCCTCATGCCAGTTCTTACACCCCCGCACCAGCCTTGGACTGCCTATCTCTGGATTTGAGAAAAATAAATCTCTTAGCTATTACGATAAGCCACCACAATCAGGTTTCTATGGCATGCAGCCAAATGCAATTCGGAGAGGTGTGGAGGAATTTTTAGTTGACTACAAATGCAAATATAGTCACCAGTTGGACAAGGCCAAGGCTACTAACAAAGCTGACACCAGCTGCAAAACTAGCCCATTACAGTGTGGTAGATCAGAGCTAACACAGTGTTGCTTACCGGTTGCTATATTTAATCCTTGTGTTAATTCTGTGAGGTAGACATTATCAATTCCATTTTACTGAAGCCGAGAAAGGCTGAAGCCCTTGTCCGTGGTTACAAGGCTAGGGGTGAAATCAGGATTTAAAGTCCAGCAATCTTTTGCCATAGGGAGATAAAGGCTAGATTTTCATTCTAAGGAGTCTGTGGCATTTAAGTAATGAGTCTCACCTCCCATCTGTTGCCTTTGCGTTCTCCTAACCTTGTGCTTTTCCATGCCTGTTAACCATCACCACTCTTCATCCCGATGGGACTGCTGACTTTTGCTTCTACCAGAGCTAACCCTCCTGCCCGCCAAATCTCACCATAAACTACACACTATAATCACAAGCTCTTTTAAAATGTACCAAATCCTCTTATCTTTTTTTCTCAAGCTCTTGCCTCTGCCAAGAATGCTTTATTTCAGAAGAGTAAATTGCTGTATTTGGGCCTAGGGAGGATAGTCTGGTATCTGCAGGCCCGTTGTGGGCAGGATACCCATCTCAGTGTAGCTCATAGCACTGAAAACATACACAGTGCTTAGGTGTAAATATTTGTAAGGTCAAAGTGGATTCCAGCCATACTGGCTCCTATGCTGCGGGCTGTGGCTCATGATTGCAAACTCAGCAGTTTGGGAAGTCCAGGCAAGAGGATTACTTGAGATCAGGAGATAGAAACCAGTCTGGGCAACATAACGAAACCCATCTCTACACACACACACACACACAAATTAGCCACGTGTGTTAGCGTGCACCTATAATCCTAGCTACTCAGGAGGCTGAGGCAGAATTGCTGAGCCCAGGTTGACACTGCAGTAAGCCATGATCATGCCATCATACTATGGCCTGGGTGACACAGTGAGACTACCCTCCCCCCAAAAAATTACCCATTTAAAATCATTAACATCAAATTTCATCAAACATACAAATGAAACATACTCTATAGGAAATTTCAAATAGACTATATACTCCATTGAACGTTTAATAAATTATATTCAAGTATGAGTTTTTTTAAAAAAGAGACAAAATTATAATGCAAGTATTTATTAAAATGCCAACAATTTAAACATCATCTGAATCATATGAAATACTTACTTTTGTGAAATGCATTAATGAAAATCTAGGAGTTTCTATGTAAGGCTGAGCATTTTCAACATTCCTGCCCTAGATGAGAAAAGAATGCATTCTCTTACTGGTACTCAGGAAGTATTTATGCAATACACTTGGGTTCTACTTGCTGGTGTGTGGAGACGAGGCTAGCACCCATGACTGGCTGGGCTCTAGAAAACAAGCATGCAGTGCTCCTGTGCCATCTGGGACCCAAGAGACAAAAGTCTATCTAGGGTGAAGCTACATGCAGAGGGTGAAGAGGACTATACCAACAGGCTCACGTGTCTGGAAGAGCAAAAGGAAAGCCGTGCACAGATATTGCTTTGACCTTAAGATATTTGTTAAGTGAGGCAAAAAAGAAGCCAGGAGTCTTCTCAAAACCATCCCAGGTCAGCAATTTCCAAGATATTTCTATCAAGGTAATTGGTAGAAAATACAAATGTGTGCTGGCCCTTACTGAAGAATTAAACCATCATAACGTATACCTACACAATTTGGAGGACAGGCAGTTATCAAACAGCCTATAAACTCAAGTGGGGCATCAGCTCAATTGATACCTGTCTATCTGGCTTCAGCTGGTAAGGAATCATAAAGATGTTCAAATGTTGATTTTTGGTGAATGTATTTCACAAAGCTACCATTTCATAAGGACAATAATGTTCACTATATTACAATACATGACAAAATTTACAAATGAGATGACAGAGTTATTTTAAATACATTTTGTAAAGGCATTTTCCACTAACTATAAAATACAATGAGACAAAAAGATAATTACACTATAGTTACCATCAAGACTTTTAGACTGTAGTTGAAGTTCAAAAGGTTAAGGATTTTACAAAAAGATAACATGAGGCTTAATTATATGTGAAGAGTATTTGATTAGATACAGAAAATATTAGTAAGTGTGGTTTTCTTCCTCTTGAAAACTAGCTTTATGAAGTAATATCAACTCCAATTAAATTTTGACCTACTTTAATTCCTCATCAATGGCACCATAAGCTGGTACACTCAAAGTAAACCAGTTACTTTGGCCACCAAATTAGGCCACCTCTATGTTTCTAAAATAACCAGGATACAATGGCGTAGCCTGCATTTAGTTACTATACAGTATTATGCAAACTTACAGATTTTAAAAACATTTCCTCCATTTTTCCAAAGTTGTTTCTTAGGACTTTGATTTTAAACATGTCTACCTTAAGGTTCCAAATAATAACGTCTCCTATGAGAACAGGTGGGGTAAAACCATTCTCTAATCTGACAAGCTATATTCTAAGAGATTACTGCAAACCTGCTCTGTTAGGACAGGGTTGAAAGTACTATCTGAAATCTGAGGGATGTTTAGAAGACTGACCCCAGACAAGGGATTTAAAATTTCTTTTGGCCAGGTACAGTGGCTCATGCCTGTAATCTCAACACTTTGGGAGGTGAGGCATGAGGATCATTTGAAGCCACAAGTTCAAGGTCAGCATGGGCAACAAAGTGAGACCCCCATCTCTACAAAAAATAACAAAAATTAGTCAGAAAAGGTGGTACACACCTGTAGTCCTAGCTGCTTGGGCGCCTGAAGCAGGAGGATCCCTTGACCCCAGGAGTTGGAGGCTGCAGTGAGCTATGATCTTGCCACTGCACTCCAGTCTGGGTGGACAGAAAAAAAATTTAATTTTTCAAGAGAAGCATTGTGGGAAGGGAAAAATGTGTTCCATAATCTAGGATATGTTCAAGAGCCTTTGCTCTCATAGCCAAATATATAAAAACAATTTTCCTTAAAGAAATACCAGTCTATGAGCCAAGGCAAGCTTTGGCTAAATGATTGGTTAGCTTTTATTTGGCTCTAGAGGTTCCCATGGAAACAGCCTGAGAGACAGAAAAGGCAGCATTATCATCTTTATCCATGATGCCATCTGATAAAACTGCACATTGATTCATTCATGTTATTCAGAGCAGATGTATTACTTCTGATAAGCCTGGACAAAGGGAGGCATGAGTTTTATCTGGTCACACTTTGAATTTCCTGTCTTTCTCTGTTTGAAACCTTAAATTAAAATCCTGATAAAAGCTCCTCTGAACATTTCCCTCAGGAGCCTGTAGCTGAAGTAATGCTTCAATAATCAGAAGTCAAATGAAGAAACGTGAAGCCCCAAATGGAGCTCCACTGCCAAGTTCTTAAAATTATATGGCACCATGCTTCCTGTAGCTGAAGAAATTGTTCTGAAGAGTATTTACAATTCCATTATATCAGATCTCAGCCAGGCAAGAAATGTCATCTTAAGTGTTTATTATATACAGTTGAACCAGGTGGCATCATCCATCATTTTTCTTCCTCTTGATGTCTAGATCAGTTGTGTGTGTATTTTAACATAGTAACACACCCTCACAATTATCCAATCTTATTTCAGGTTAGTGCTTCTCGGAAAGGCTACAAAAGCAGCCATAGCTCAGAATTATGTATCTGAAGTAAACAAAAATAAAAACCTCAACAACAAAATATTAACCAAACAAACGCGACAAAGAGGCATGCAACCTATAGCACCATACTTAAGACCACAGAGGCAGGAGGGTTGACAGAGGTCTTAGGAGGAATCCAGTTCTGGGTTTTCTCCTAGGATGAGATCCCAAATATAGAACCTATTTGTAGAGTCCAAAACTTTTAAAAAGGGAAAGCCTGAGAAATTCTATTAAAAGAAATATCAAAATCCATGAGTTTCCAGAAGACAGATGATTTGACACTGTTCTTATTCTAAAAGCATCAAAGACGTTATTCCTTAGAAATAAACTGCTCACTTTGGAAGATCAGTTGGGAAATCCCTGCCAACCTCAATGAACTAAAATGATGTCTCAGTAAGTTAAAAAGATGATACACCCCCAACAAGGGCCAATTTACTCATGGAAAGTAGTTTACAAATGAGCAGTTAGCTCCCTGACATCTGTATAACCATACAGACATGTGCTACATTGAACAGATTCACCCTTGCACATATCATCATACGCTCCACATGGCAAAACATCTGAAAAACACCCAAATGTTTATCAAAAACCTCTGTGCATTATGACATTGGTGTGGAAATTTAGATCTCAGCTTAATCTTTTCCAAAAGAAGGGAGTAAAAGCCCAGGGAAAGGTTTACTTAGAGATGAGTGAAGATTCTGGTAATTTAAAGGTGATGAATTAAGAAGCTATAGAGCTAGAAACCACCTCAGATCTCACCTAATCCCTCATCTTATTGATAGAAAAACTGAAGTCCCAAGATAAGTATTAGATCCAACCAATGGAAGAACTGTGATCAGAAGAGAAACCATGGGACTCTTAGTTCAGTGCTTTTCCCATCATATTTATCTGGGGCTTCTTTAAATCTTAGCATGCAGAATTTAATCAAGCTCTAAGGAAAATGACTGAAAAGTATCAGATAGGAAAAACGCTGCCTTCTAATGAAGACTTTGGCAATTCACGTTCTGAAGTGCTTAATATTAACAAAGGGAAACCCCCAAAACTTTTGGCAAAATGTTACTTCTTCTAAGAAACAGGTTCCTTTTCTGAGAGCTGATTTTGTAGGTACTGGGTTACAGCACTGTAGGTTATAGCTGACAGTTTTCATATGCCCCATCTTTGTAGTTAGAGTTAGATTCTGCAGATCCCATATCATCAGGCGGACTGAAATGACTGCTGCCTTGAGACTCTGTATCAATACTTTTGGTTTCTGATTGAAGGTGGACAGAAACCTGAACTGCTATTTCCTGGCCTTGTTCATTCAGAGAGCCATCATCTGAATCTCCTCCTGGTGAATTACTCCGTCCCATCTCTGGGTTAATGACATAGATGCCACCTTGAGCATTCAGGGCAGGTCTCTCTTTAATTCTTTCACCCAGGTCATCAGGGTCATCCACTCGCACAGCCTCAAACATCTCCTCAACAAAGGCTCGACAGTTTAGAATAAGAGGTGGAAGAGGGACACTTCTTGCCAGTTCTTCAATATAACGAGCAAACTCCATGGTCTTAAATTGTGTGACTTTGGCGAGCTCCAGAGTTTTGGCTGAGGTAATGATGGGGATACGCTTTGCAATCTCAAAGGCCTTCTGAAGTTTCTCAGCCCCTTCAGTTCTAAAGAACTCATTGATGGCCTTCTCAGTCTTGCGAAGATGGCTGCTCATCATGCACAGCCGTGTGACATTCAAGATGAGTGTGATTGTAAAGGCAATCAAGCAAACAATCATGTAATAGACACTCATGTCTCCCGAGGTGAAGATAACACGTAGGGTGACAGAGTAGGAGGCACGAATTGGAGAGGTGACAAAACAGGTATAGAGCCCACGGTCATCAAAAGCTACATTGGTGATGTTTAGGAAGTTATCAGAAACCAACCACTTTCCACCTGATAATCGAACAGAAATGAAAAAAAAATTATAGCAAAAAGAAGATTACTAAATATGGCCGCTGCCTTATCAATATTCCTCCACTTCATCAAAGCACTTTAAATCAACTGATTTGTTAGATTCTACCATCTGTTTAAATCATGTTAAAAAAAGGGCAGATTGTGATGTCCAGAATCAGAATTTAATTAGCTTGGATCTTAAAAGGAAATCAAGATCTTCCTTCATGACACTAATAATTAACATGGCTTCCTTTTCACTGTTAGACTTCAAAAGCCTTTCTGTGAAACAGGTATGTCTACAAAATGCTAAATGACTAATCATAAAAAAAGCTTATAGTTTATACACATCTGTGTGTCTACATCACATTGCAACCAATACATTTTCATATATTATAAGGGTATGCCTCAGAAATATAAAACAATGATTTAAAATAATGATATTTTAAATTTTTATGAGTAATTTTTATTTTCTTCTGTGTTTGCTCACTTTCCATAGTGAACTTATATAACAAGAAGAAATTATTAAAAAAAAAAACCCTAGCAACTTAATGCATTTGTTCAATTAACTGCCCAATCTGGTATGCCTTGCACATATCAATTTTTTTTGTTGTTAAGAAACGTTTGTTGATGGTGATATCTTGATTTTCTGGCAAGAGTAACTGAAGCACAGGCCAAAAAATACATCTCACAAGTCACGGTAAATGAAAAGCTTGGCAAAAAGAATAAAGTTACCCTTAAGATGCCTATGCTTCCTTCTATTTTCAACCTAAAACATACTGCCTCTCTTACACATGTGAAGGTATTTTCATTCAGGGAACATGTATATACAAATACACAAGTGTAAGAAAAGCAAAGCATATTGATTACCCATCTTGATTCAACATCCTTCAATAACTTGGCTCTGCTTGCATAATTCCTACTTTTGTGATACATTCCCAAAGCACTCTGTGTTTTAACTATGAAAGCCATTCAAAGATGGAATGCATGGGCTAACCTGCAGTGTGGGGATGCATTCCAACGACTAGAGGTAGTGTCCCAGGGGAGGTTAGCAGACTGCTTGTTAAGCACTGACTTGAGTGCCCAATCTTCAAAATCTCTTTCATCCCCAAGATTCTATGGTTCTGGATTATTTTAGTAAGCACTCTGGATTTTGTACATTTTCATCATCATCCAAACTTACCTCAATCCTACAGCTATTAATATATTTAAGAGCCATCACTTCACTAATACAAGAAGAGGAAAACATGTAGTTATGAATATAGCCATTTTCCACAAGCTTCTATGAACTTGGAGCTATGGAAACGACACCATTTGAATCCAAGGTATGATGAACTACAAAGACTCCATTCATCAACCATTGCACTACAACCACAATCTAAACTCTCTAGTTCACTTGCTGATAATAGCTCAAGATTTATGAACCTTATACTAGACTGACATGCTCTTTAAACTCCTCTCACTTGAGATTCATAAAATTTAATACAACTTTCCAGAGCTGCTGCTGAAAGCATCAATGATAGATGTTAGCGGTTTTCAAAGTAAAGGCAAAATAGAAAAATAAAACTGCCATTCCACTCGGCTGGTCTTGTCTTAACCTAAGGCTTTGTTTACGCAGTCAGTCTACAGTGATGACACTGAATGAATAATTCAATCTCAGAGGTGTTTGGTCAGGATATCATAGAGCCCGGAGAAGACAGGAGTCTGGTTCAGTGGGTCCAAATATGGAATCCCAAATCATGTTCAAAGTACACATTCCAGGTACCACTCTAGATATTCTAATTCAATAGTTATATATTTTAAACATGCTGATTAAAAATACTCTAACAATTCACACTCTTCAATTCCTTGGTGACTAGTCACTCAGTCTATAGATGAAAATATTTAGTGCATATGTCTGAAGGAAGTATCACCTGTCTCCTTTTGTATTTTCCAGCCTAATATGAATAATCAATATCCTTTTATATTTCAAAAGGCTACACTATCTTCCTAACAAAAACATTTCTTAAAGTGTAGCTTGTGGGGATCTTAGAATTTAATCTTCATCCCTTTGGCTTTTTATGGTGATTTCTTTTTGAGATCCATTATAACTCAAGTACTCATCAAAAAGATCTTTAAAACAGAACACTGGTTAGGAGTAGTCTGGATTAAGATATATTCACAGATCCATGAATAGCAAAATTAAATAAAACTCTGTCAAAAAGTAGACCTTGAACACATTATCACTACGTTTATGTGATTTTTAAGACAGAAACATAAAAATGCAAAAAAAATTTCTCTTTTCCAGTAAATTAAGGTATAGAATAGAAAAAAAATGAGCTGGAAGGGCTTACACGTTCCATAGTGCCCTTCTAATTCTCTGAGACCTGACGTCAAAGTTTTATATACAGATTGATACTCATTTTCAAAAATGTCCTGGATTTCCTCTAAAGTTTATAGTAACTCATTTCAGAGCAAAACTTTATTTATAACAAATTTTCTTAAGTCTAGCCAAAACCCTTCTGGATGTATTCACAAAGGGCCACCACACTGCACTACAGTAGTCTAGGTGAAGGGTGCTCCTACAGTTGTGTTGTATGCCCTCTGTACAGTTGTATGCAGCAGCCCTGATTTACTCTATCTTCAATGAAGAAGAAAACCAACTGATCAGAAGCAGAGAAAATAGTTCATTGCCATCATGTGAACATCTTTTAAATTTACAATGATTCTTTTTTTTCTTCTTCTGGTTAAATAATTATAATTATTTTGCTTTTTCTGATAGGTGCAACACTCTAGACCTTTCAAATGTTTTAAACTATTCACCTTGGCACCTTATCTTTGAGACTTCTTGTTTAACTTGTTAAAAAATAAGAAGACAGAACAGGAAATAAGTAATCTTGATTAATTATACCCTGACCAGTTACCTCTGCCTCTGCCATCCAGTTGCTGTCCTTTTGAATTGTGCCAATGGACATCTTCATAGTGACTGGCTGTGAGAAGACACTCAATTGAAACGCTAGTTCCCTCTTTGGCTATGATGACATCATCATCCGAGTGGGAACTTGCTGAGAGTTCAAAGCTTGAGGGAAAGGATGCATTGTAAGAACTACGATTTGCTTCCAGTGAAACCATTTGGTTGAAGTCCACATCTTCCAAAGCAAAAGCAGCTGGCACAATAATACTTGCCACTAAAGTGAATAAGCAACAATGTAGCTTCATGGGAAAATGGAAGAAAATCTTGTTTAGATTTGGAGAACTCAAAAACTTCTACACTACAACAGCACAGCGGGTAATTTATTGCTTGGTAGAGAAATTTTCCAAACAAATGGTAGATCCAGTTATATTTTCTAGTCTTCAAGATTAAAAGATGTGAGTGGAGAACAACCTAAAAGAAAGCCAGATACAAAGTTTAACCAACTGAGATTCATAATGGGGTGAAACTCTGTATGTTCCAGATATGAATAGATGTGAATTAGAATAATTGGTGCTGACATTGGAGAGTAATTAGATGGAATAGGACCTAAAAATCTCACACAGAGACAGCAGAAAAAGCAACGAATTGGGAAATAGCAGACCTAGATTTTGGTCCTACCTTTGCTACTAACTAGCTGTACGACCTTGGCAAGCAGCATTCTCTCTGGGCTTCTGTTTTCTCATCTGTCAAATAAGGGACTGGATGAGATAATCTCTAAGGACTCTTCTAGTTCTGAAATGCCATGATTCTATTTCATTCTGACAAATTTTATGCAACAGGGAGCCAATGAAGGCTAAAATATTTATCTTAATGATCTTTTATTTCAAACTGCACCATTACCATCTGTTGTTATATCAATAATGTAAATCAACTGACATATCATAACCACAACCATGGAGCTCAAAATTTGAGTAATTCAAGTATAAAGATATACATATAAATAATGCAGGGACACTTGAGGTGGGTTGTTTTAATATTGGAAAGAAAATTGCATTTACTGCATACACATAAATAGAATTATTGACTTCTAAAGCTATGGAACCTCCTTCATGGACAAGAATGTTAGACAACAGAATTTTCTTTTAATAGTTTCTCCAATACCAAGAGACAAAATACAGTGTATTTAATAGTTTGTAAAAATTTCTAGCTCAAACTCTGTAAACTAGCTAAGGGAGGAATTGACATCTTAAGTTTCTAGTTAGTAGAAATGCAAATATAAAACTACAGGGACAGAATGTTAGACAAATTTAAAAGAAGAGCAAAATATCATGAATAAAAGGCAAAATAACATCCTACTCCAAAAGTTTATGTATTTATGATCACCTTCCTGGTAATCTGATGCCCCCTTTAAGCCACCGACTCTCAAAGAAAAATTTCAACTTTTATTTCTATAAAATATGGGATGAAATGCCTAGCTTCATGTCTTATAAAGCCCCAAGATAATTAGTTTTGGAAATGACATTTACTTTCCGTTATACTTATATGAAGGCTGCTTGATCACAGAACATAAAAAGCAATGAATCACTGTATTTTGCCATTAAACATTGCAAAGTCAAATTACAGTATGGTGCAAATGTCATTTAATTTTCATTAGCCCTTGAAAGGATGGCTGAATGGTGACAAATACGTTTCTAAATCTTTAAAATTTAAGGATGGAGTATATAGAGTAAAATAAAAAAACTTCAGACTTTGGCTATACATGACATACTAAATGTGTTTATTTCCATTTCCTCCTAAAGCTGCACTAAAAGGACACTAAAGGAAACAAAGACTTAGGCAGAGAGGGGATTTTGGAAGTAATATAATCTAATTGATTCAGTGCATAGTGATTTGCTTCTTATGATATGCTACAAGTTAGCAGGAGAATCTAGCTTAGAATACGGTCTCTTTTATAGGAGAGGGTGATGGGTAGAAACAATGGAAATAACATTTATTGAATGACTGCCATAAGCCAACCACTGTGCTAGGAGCTTGACATGTAAGTTTCCAAGTTTTTTCACTACAAGATATACAGCAATTGGAGGACATAATTCTGTACTTTATTCTAGATCAGTGGTTCTCAATGGTGATAGGCTATGAGTGTGCTGAAAAAATGCTCCAAGTTTTCCCCAGAACTTTGATTAGGAGTTCCTATGGCTTCATCCATGGCAGCATTTTCCAAACTTCATTCCTTCCTTCTCCTGTCATTTTTGTTTTTGTTTTTACTATATCCATGAACCAAATTATCATCATTTCTGCTTTTCTTTTAAATCTACTCATTTTATTTTTCCTTTCACATTTATTTAAAAAGGAAATTCCATATTGGTTCTGTGGACAAAAATAACCGTACACATAAACATAATGAAAACAAAGAAGTGTTATTAGCTTCCAGAGATACTACTCCCTGCTTAAGGCTCTGAGCTGGAGGTTTGCTCTCTCTGTAGTAAAACCAAAACCAAAACCAAAACCAAAAGCCCCCCACAACTCCAGTTTATTTTAATGCCACTTCGTTTCTTATCCTGCCATCTCCTTCCTTTCTACTCTTCCTCACCACTGAGTTGTAGATTGGCGGGATACATTTTCATATATTCAACAGTATCTACTGAGCACCTACCATGTGCCTACCTACTGCCCCACAGACAGTCTCGTCCTCCATGAAACTCAGTCTGGCAGACAATGGACACTAACTACATATATACAAAATATACTCAATGTTACCCAAGGGAAAATACAGATGCTCCAGGAGGACCTGACCTGGGGAGTTAATCTCATCATGGAAAGCCTCTGAGAAAGTGAGGTGTACAGCACCTATTCTTCAGGTGCAGGACCTGAAGAATAAAGAGGAATAAAAATTGGAAGGAAAGCACTCAAGGTAGAGGGCCAAGGGACAGAGAAAAAGGAGAGGGGTCACTGGTCAGGAGTTGTTCACGAAAAAGAGCTAAAAAATTGTGGTAAAGAGAGGCAGTGGCCAAAAATGCTGCGTCTGATTCCTGATTCTGGAGGGGAACTAACTGGGCCAATGGTGAAACTGGAGATGGACTCCGGAAGCTGCAGTGGCTGAAGTGAGGGAGATATTTGTCCATGATGAAGAGGTCAAAGAACTGAGAGGCTCAAACGTGGGCAGATCACCTGGGGGTATGGTCACATCCCCCCAGGATCAAAGTAGCTAGTGTAGAAGAAACTGGAAAGAAAGGAAATGGACTCAGTCATCCTGCTCTGATATTCAGGAACTTCAGCAGAATGAACAGCTGTCACAGGCGAGGGCTGCAGGGCAATCAGTGTCCTCACCAACACAAGGCTTGGCAAAGCATAACTGCCACATGGAATTCTGCCTTCCCACAAACTTCCTGAACCTCCTATCAAGGCCTTAGCTATTCCTCCTACATAAATTCAGAGTATAGCTGTATAAAGGATGGCTTCTCCTTCACCCCAGGGCCCTCCCCACCTACCCTACTCATCTGGTGTTGGTATATGCTGCTCTGCATTGCCAGGCAGTCTATCCCATCTCACCTACCCCTTAAGAATAAGGCCTATATTTTTTATTGCTATACATCACAACTAGCACATGCTCAATAAATATTGATGGAGATTAGTCTAAATTTGATTCAGTATGTGACAGATCTTTATAAACTGAATAATGTTATGCAACAGGGATTATAATTGTTCAAACTGACATACAGTTACCTATTATAAATTCTCTGAAACAAAAACAGTCAATGCTAACAATCTTGAAAGACCTTAAAAGCACCTAATTAAAGGCATTCTTCTGACTCCCAATCTGGTATCTTCATTTACCATCTTGTCCTAGAGAATAATGGTAGGAATAAAAGATCAGCAAGTGCAGTTTCCAAACCAGGTTGAGTGTCACAATTGCCAGAAGAGCTTTTTAAAAACATGAATTCCCGGGTCCCACCCTAGAACGAGTAAGAATCTCTGCGTTTGCGCCTTGGAATTTATGACTTTTAATTGGCTCCTTGGGTGTTTTTGAGGTGTTGGATTCATGTACTGCATCTAAGGGCCACTAATACAGTTCCTCAATTTCCTCTACAACTGACCTGCAGAATGGTGCTTCAGGCTGTTTGAATATTTCCAATGAGAGATACAATCACTCACATTACATTCTAGATTTAGATTACTCTGGATCAGCATAATTGAAGGTCTCTAATAAAAGCTGCGTAGCAGAGAGGTTCAGAGTATAGGATTCAAATACTATCTCTGACTAACCAGCCTTGCAACTTTTATAAATGACTTAATCTCCCTGCCTCAGCCCCTCATCTTTAAAATAGGCAAAATAACAGAATCTATTCTCACAGGATTATTGCAAAGTCTGAATGAGGTAGTACACATAAAACATAGAGTCCGACAATGGTAATCACTGAATAAGCTCTATTATTATTGTTCATGGTTCTTTCAGATATTGTACTAAAATTTACATTTGACAGTTACATCATTATAAAACACTCAGAATACCATGCAACCATTTAAAAATCTTGGGGGTTGGGGGAAGGGGACACCACTATGCAATTTTAATCTTAAACTTAAAATTTCACATTTTTCTTTTTCTCAATGCAAATATTTTGCAATATTATGGAGCATACAGGCATTGTAAACTGAGCTTGGATACCAACCATGATATGACATTGTATGTGTCCTCAGTTTGTGGTAGAGAAGCTTTGTTGTGATCTACTTACCCCACGGCTCCCCTCTTTGAGCCCTATCCCTATCTTCTTGGGCCTAGGAGGAAGACAATCCATTGGCAAAGTAAGCTAATAGAATCTTTGTTCTTGGAACTTGGAATTGAGACCCTTGTGGGTCAGGGTCATTTGAGGAAAATAAGGTATGTGGGGGCTGAGGCAGTCAGGTTTGGACCACATACAAGGAGAAGCTGTGAGAAAGGACAAGAGGGATAGGGAAGGGAGAGAGTGGGAAGACAGGAAGAGAAGCAGGGGAAAGAGAGAGACTCAAACATGCTGCTTTGGTGCCTGATAGAATTCTACTTCCTGGCTCTCCTATGACTCTTAAAAAAGAAACACCTTTATTAAATTTTACTCAAAATTAAAACCACAAAAGTGAAGATGAATGTGCAAACAACGTAATAAATGGGGAAATGGTAAGGCAGGAGAAAAAAGATTAAGTTCACAAAAAGTGATTGACCTGTATCTGTGGCTGCCAGGCAATCTTCATCATATATCTCTATTCTCTTCCTTAAACAGTGGAGTGTGGCAAGCAAACTGCCCATGTGGCCAAGATTTGCGGTTCCTGTGTTGTACAGACACAGCCATTTGCCTCTACTAAAGTTTACAGAAACCTACCAGACAGGATTTAGGAAAACACTATAAACTCCCTTAAACTGCTCTTAGGCCAAACATGGCAGAAGTAGCCTGGTACACTGATTTTGAGTCACAAGAAAAAGAGGTTGCACAATAGCCTTACACATCCAGTTAATACTGGGCACTTCACTCATACCATGTACATCCTGAACACAGAGGACTTCTGATTTGAGAGACTAACAGATATAACCCATTTGCAGGTAACAGGCTGTTCAGCAGCTCTGAGAGAAAACACTGGCAAAGATACGTGTCCAAGAAGGTGACAAAGCAGAAAAAACAGCGAGGGAAGAACAAATCATCCTTGGTATCAGGGTACTATTATTTCCTCACAGTAAGTCTCCTTTTTGCTAAGTCAGCTTGAATGGGTTTCTGCTTCTTGCAACACAAACTGCATTGACTATGACCATTCTGCTCATTCTAGACTAATGAATTTAAAACAACAGTTCAACTAGGTCAAGGACCCATCGTGGAAGATGAAGTAGAGTAGGTCGTGCAAGAGTTGCTAAGGAGAATTAGGATACTGTCCTAGACCCTCAAGAATTTACAAACCAGCTTGAAAGACAGCACAGAAACAACTAACTGTATCTAAGACGATGTGACTGAAATGTAATTATGCTGTGAATGCAACAGAGAAAAGACAAATTTTAAGTTTCAGGAATGCAATTCACTTACATGTTTGGGACTTCCTATAATAATATTAGGCCTGCATGCTTTGAACATATGATACCTTATACTACAGTTACTTTATTTTCATTTCCAATCCTTTAATTTTTCCTCATATATAGATCCCCAGATGTAGAACTGTTCACCAAATCAGTTAAGTGGGCTGAGGTCATTAAGGCAGGTATATTAGATGCCACGGGAGACACAAGAGTACATGCATTTGTATTTGGAAAAAAAAAATTGATATATATATCATGCCTGCTATTTTTAATGCAGCAGCTGACATCTGAAACCCAAGAATAGATTTCAAAAAGGAAAACCAAAGTGTCACCTTCTTGTTATCAGTTAAAAAGGGCTATACGATGTTTGTGGATGAAGTTACTTGGTAAAATTTTTTATTACCTTTTTTTCTTTTTTTTTTTTGAGACGGAGTTTCGGTCTTGTTGCCCAGGCTGGAGTGCAACGGTGAGATCTTGGCTCACTGCAACCTCTGCCTCCTGGGTTCAAGCGATTCTCCTGCCTCAGCCTCCTGAGTAGCTAGGATTACAGGCATGCATCACCATGTCTGGCTAATTTTTTGTATTTTTAGTAGAGATGTTTCTCCATGTTGGTCAGGCTGGTCTTGAACTCCCAACCTCAGGTGATCTGCCCGCCTCGGCCTCCCAAAGTGCTGGGATTACAGGCGTGAGCCACCACACCCAGTCTATATTACCTTTCTTCAGCATTAATAAATAAAAATGTAATAGATAAGCGTAAGACTCAAGTTTAATCCAACTCCTTTTTCATCTTTTAGGTATACAGAATGTAAGCTTTGCTAGGATCATAAAGAATCAGAAATGTAGATGGTTTTACCCCAGAAAACCATGGAGAATATCGACTATATTATTTTAGAAAGAGAAAGAGAAGAGCCTATAGCTGTCGCCCCTAACAGATTGTCTTGTTGCTGTTCCTGCCAACTTCTGAGGGAAGAAATATTTCCATTCTGTTCCAATTTTCAACATAAATAAGGAAGTAATATGGCTGATTTCCGCTCTGGTGACTCAATATTAAGTTGGCTGAGGAAACTGATGTTTGCAGAAATAGTTCTGAGAAAATGCAAAGCAGGGAAACACATTGATGCCCAGGTGGTATTTTTTTTTTAACCTCCAATTATACTGGGATATTAGTACTTCATTCTCTATAATCAAATGTGTTCTAGGCTGCATTTACAGCTCATCCACTCTTTGCCTGCACTGTCACACTTGGAAAATGGACCAGTTCCTACACCAGGCACACAAATTGACAAAGCAGCATTCTGAATTGGCAAAGAGAAGAAAACACAAATGAAGAGCAGATTGTTAGCACTACCCTATCCTTTGCAAAGAACAAACACAAAGTTGTTCTGCCTAGATGCAAGCATTATTATAGGGATCTGTAACATAACAAAGGTTAGTGATATTCAAACAGTAATCACTACTTTGAGGGCCATTTACTTAAAAGTTTCTAATTAAAAATAGCCTTTATATTTCTAGTAGTATCTTGGAGCTATCACATACCTCATAACTAGCATTTGGTCAGTCTGAGCTCAAACTTCAACATATCTTCTGGCACCCGGAGAAACATCTTCCGTATTTATCAGAGCTTTGCTTTAAACCCAGGATTATTTCAGTTATACCCATAACTTACATCCTTTTTGCCATAGGTATTTGCTGAATAGCTACAGGATGCAAATGACAAAAACATCAATGAAACAGGCTTAGATTTATGAGCTTCCCAGGCCATTTTTCCCCCTCTATAGTCTGAAACATCTCTCACTATTTGAAACTCAGTCTAATTAAGACAAAACTCCTCTTACCCTCAGATCTACTTGTTCAGCTTATGAACAGCTTAGATAATAGCCAGACAATTCTTCCAGTTTTGCAGTATCAAAACTGCAAGACAATCATGGCTCAGTGGTTAGGAGAATGGGCTCTAGAGTTAAGGTGGCTGATCCTACCCCTCCCTGGGTGAAGCCATAGGCTTGCAAGGCCTTAGTTTTCACACTTATTAAATAAAATAATATTAACAGTAACTGTTTCATAAGGTAGTTTTGAGGATAAGATGAACTAATGTGGGTAAATTATAAATATATGCTATTGCTATTATTCCACCTCCTACATATTTTTCAGATAAGTCCTATTGTCCCTCTCCTACATCATACCCTTTTATCTTACCTGGGTATATCACACTATCCCTTTAATTTCAGAATGGATCTCCTTAACTCCATTCTTACCTCTATGATCCATCCAAACACTGTGGCACTCAGAATTGGTCCTAAACACAAATCTGAGCAATTCAGGATAATTTTACAATCTATTGGTGATTTGTCACTGCCCATGAGATAAGCTTAAAATTCCAATCTGGCATTATAATTCTCCAAGAATAGATTCAGGCAGCAGAATAGAAAGTCATGAGAAGCCCAGCTCTGCCTCTATGTACAATAACTGCTTGCAGGAGGAATGAATGGATTTAAACATTAAGTCTGGTCTTTAGTTGTACCTCTATCACAAATTAGCTATGATGTGCTCCAGTGGTCTTAGTTTCCTCACCTACAGGCTGATTATCATTATCATTCGTTTATTTGCTTAAATCCTATAATCTATCCAGCTTTCCTCCCATGGCTCAAAGCCTAAACTATGCTTGTTTTACTCTATTCTCTCTAAATAACTTTTCACCTTAAAGTTCTGGTTTTAGTTGTTCCTTTTGCTTAAAAATCTTTCTGCTCATGGCCGGGTGCGGTGGCTCACGCCTGTAATCCCAGCACTTTGGGAGGCCGAGGCGGGCAGATCATGAGGTCAGGAGATCGAGACCATCCTGGCTAACACGGTGAAACCCCGTCTCTACTAAAAATGCAAAAAATTAGCCGGGCGCGGTGGTGGGCGCCTGTAGTCCCAGCTACTTGGGAGGCTGAGGCAGGAGAATGGCGTGAACCTGGGAGGCGGAGCTTGCAGTGAGCCGAGATCACGCCACCACACTGCAGCCTGGGCGACTAAGTGAGACTCTGTCTCAACAACAACAAATCTTTCTGCCCCTTCCCATCAATATCTTTCTGGGGGAAACTGTACCCTCTCTATAATATTCAACTCTAATTTCATCTTATTCAGGAAGCCCTCTCACGCCCACCCTCGTCAGATGAGTTTTTTTTTTTCCTTTGTCAGTCCTGTAGCACACTGAGAGTACGCTATTGTAAGACTTACCAGTTTTCCTCTTAGCAGTTAGTTATCCGTTCAAAAGACTGTAAGCTTATGAATGAGAGTCTAAAAACCTTCTGTCCTTAGCACAGGGCCACTGCCTGTGGCAAGTGCTCAAAATTTTGACTTCAGACATTCATCGACTTGGTAGTCTGAAAGGTGTCTGCTACAAACTTATTAACTTTCCAGAGCTTCAGACTCTGGAAACCATTGATGGAGAGAGATGAACATAAGGAAAGACACCTATCTTGAGTTTTAGTAGGCAGAACACTGTAGAGAATCATTTGACTGGTTTTCTCACTCTGTAATTTTTGGACCATTTATATCAAATTAATCTGTGGTGCTTGTTAAAGATGCAGATTTCTTGACACCACAGACTTATTGAATTGGGATGCCTGGGCATCTGCATTTTTAATGTGCATAAAGGTTTATTGATTTACAAATCAAACTCATATTTCTTTTACTGGCATGACAATCACTGTAATTCAGTGTAATTCTTAAAGTGTGGTGCAGGAACTCCTGGGTGTCCCTGAGACTTTTTCAAAACAATTTACATAATATTAGGACATATTGCTTTTTCACTTACATTCTCACACAATATGGTGTAAGTTTCTAGAGGTTACATGATGATTGATATTGTTAAGAGAATGAAGGTAGAAGTTATGAAAATCTAGCTGTCTTTTATTCAGCCACACATTAAAGAGATTTGTAAAAATGTAAAACAATGCCATTCTCAATAGTTTTTTATTTTGGAAAATATCCTTTATATTTTTGTTATATATTTATATATATAAAACATATACACACATATGTATAACAATATATATTGTTATATATTTATGTTAACATGAGTTTATTTTAAAATGAATAATTTTTGAAAGTTGTTTTCTAAAATAGTAAATATTGATAGCTATTATATATAAACAAAAACCCTTTGAAGTTCTCAATAAATTTTAAAAGTATAAAGACATTCTAAGATCAAAAAGTTTAAGAACTGCTGCTATAATTACCAGCAGCATTTAAAAGATAAGTGGCTTCTCAAGATTCCATACTTTGGCCCCAAATTCTATCCATTTTCCATTACAAGAGAAAATCAGAGGAAATGATCCATTTTATATTTAAACAGGGTTTTTTGTTTTGGTTTTTGGACTTCTAACTAGCTTCCAGGTGATACAGATGAACCTAAATTTAGAGACCTACTGTCAAAAGCAAAGGAAAACATCTGAAGAGTTTTAGCAGTGACAATTACTCTTATCTGGGAATTAAGATGATAATTCCGAGGGCATTAAATGGAGTTGGAAAACATGAGTTCTTAAAAGGCTAAGTCCCTTCACCTCTCTGGGATTCAATTTTTCCTATCTGTACAATAAGATTGATTTTAATATCTTCCTAGCTCTGTCAGTCTGGATTTCAAGCATTTTCACTGCTCAAGGGCAACACAGGAGCTGTAGCTTTCTGATGAGGGCCCAGGAGTAATCTTAAAGTCATAAATCAGATCACGTCACTCATCTGCTTAGAAACCTTCGATGGTTTTCCACTGGGTTCCAAATAAAAATCAAACTCTTTATCCTTGCTCATCAGCCTTACAAGATTTGGGCTCAAGTCCCTGGCCTCATCTCTCTCCATTCTCATCTTGCTCCTTTTGCTCTAGCCAGTGACCTTTGTCTTTTCCTTGACTTTGCTAAGTTTGTTCCCACTATATGGCCTTTGCACGCGCTATTCTCTCTGCTCGGAATGCTCTATTCCAGATTTTCTTACGGCTTATTACTCTCCCAGTTCGTTCCATCACATTATCCAGTCTGAATTTCTTTACAGCACTTACTACCACCTTAGATAATCCTGTTTGTTGACTTGTTTATAATCTGCTTCTCGCACTGCTTGAGAGCAGGGCCCTTCCGTTCGTTGACTGATGCATCCCTGGAGCCCAGCGCAGTGCCTGGCAGGTATTTGGCTCTCAGTAAGTGTTCGATGACCGAAATCCCGTACCCAGGCCAGACTTTCAAAAAGATGGCAGACATTTTCACCTCCTGCACTCCTGACCCCAAGCCACCAGGCTACAATCCACGCCTCGGCGCTCCTAGCAGCTCCCTCGCAGCGACCCCAACGAAGCAGTCACTTACCCGACCGCCGTCCAGCTCCTTCCGGCCCCAGCGGCAGCTTAACCCGGAAGTTTTCTCGGACAGCCCGGCCCGCCTCTGCGCTGAAGGAGCACTTCCGGGGCAGTAGGAACGTCGAGTCGGCTGCGGTGGCTGTTCTGAGGGTGGCGGCCGGATAGGTGCGGAGCTTCCTGGACGAGGCAGTAGGGGTGCGAGGTTCAGGGGCCGGGCCCGGGCAGCCGAAGTCGTGAGGGAGGCGGTGACCTGACGGTGGGCGGCTTACATCTCGCGGCAGGGTCGAGGGCTGTGAAAGCGCTTTAGTGATTGAAGCGGTACGTTTGTGTGAGGGAATTCTTGTTGTCAGCGCCTGAGAACTTAGTTGGGAGCGGACGTTTACACCGGATCTGTCGTTTGGGACCCATTCTTGGATGTGGGAAGAAGTGAGAGCGCATGTTTGCTCATCTAGAGACAGCCGTATTAATAACGATAATAAGGATACAAATCACCACCACACCAACTAATAGCAGCTGTCAACCTGTGGGCGGTTACGTGCCGTTCGCTGTTCTGAACCCCTCACATATCGCGTCACTGAATCTTTATAGGGACCCAGAACCCCATTTGACGGATGAGGAAACGGAGAGGCAGACAGGTGACTTGACTTCCCCACAATCGCTGCAGGACAGGAAGAAAGTTAACTCCAGAGCCCGTGCTTTTAGCTACTAAGCTGTACTGCTCTCCATTTTGGTAAATGGGGCGGGGGGAGTGTATATAATATATATATGTATATATGTGTGTGTGTGTTTGTGTGTGTGTGTGTGTAAGCGTATGCGTTTTTATTTCTTAAAGATATGGCTCAGCCATTTAATTTTTAGTGTTCCAGTTATTGGAATCTTTCTCCTCCAATTGGGAAAATAACTGCAGAAGAAACTACAATTATTTCTACACGCTTACTACACAATGCCTGGAAGACTTACAAAACACTAAATAGTGCAGTTCCACGTACTTGATGTTTATTCCTTTTTATTGTTTTACCTTTCTCCTAGATTATGAATGAGTTGAGAACAGAGATGGTACAGTCATTCTAATAACGATAGTAATGATAAAATAAACAGCCATCACCGTAAAAAATTCTCTTCTGGCTTAGCTCAAGTATCTGGCACAAATGAAAGAATAGAAATAACCAGTGTTTAATATTTTAGTAAAGGGACTGTTTTGGCCGGGCATGGTGGCTCGCTTGTGTAATTTTAGCACTTTGGGAGGCCGAGGCAGGGGAGGATTGCTTGAGGCCAGGCCTAGGGTTCAAGACCAACCTGACCAACATAGCAAGACCCTGTCTTTAAAAATATATTTTGGAGTATGTCCTTCCAGTCTTTCATGGAATTATATAAATTTATGTAATATGTATATTATATATTCTACATATAGTATACTGTATTTATTTATGATGATGATAATGATGTGTTGCAACCTGGAGAGAGCATAAGGAAAAGATAGGAAACATTTATTCATATACACAGAACATTAGTTGAACTTTGTGCAAAAACTGTCTCGTCTTTCCTATTAGGCCCTTGGAGTAAATGGCTACATTACTTCTCTATCTCCACAGGTACTGTGGTACTACTTGGTACGTAGTAGGTACGCAAAAAATGTTTGCAAGTGAATGAATGGCTACTTCTAAGTTGGTTTGTATGTCAGTGAGTAGTTGTATCTGGATTTTTTCTCTGTGTGTTTTGGAAATGTATAATGTGTTTATATTATATACCCATATATTCTGAACTCCATAGTGTTGTCTTAATCTACTTCTCTAGCTTCTTGCCTTCCTATTGTTCTTCTCCCTGCCATGGGAGAAGAACTACTTACTCCCTACTGTAACTGTCCATATTCTATACTGTCAGACCTCAGGCCTTTGGCTGTACCCACATGTTGTTTCCATATCCTTGAATCCTGTCATTGGCATCATCATCTGTCAAAATCGTATGCTTCTTTTAAGGCAGGTGTTGCCAACTCAGATGCCTACAGAGGTTAATCAGGTAGCATAATAGCATAATTTGAGTGAAGTGGATTTGCATGGGAGGTTATAGGGAGCTGGAGAGCAACTGCCCCAGCTAAAAGGGCCCAGCAGCTATTTGGCACAAGCTGGTTATTAGAAAGTTGAATGTGGGCCCTGTGTTGCTAGATCTTTCAATTTTACAAGTGAGAAGTTGGAAGCCTATATTTTTATATGAGGTCTGATTTTTAAATGTTGGCAACTAGTTTTTGCAAAGTTTAAATACCGTGCAGGCCAAATAAAAACATCTGAGGGCTGGATTTGGCACTCGAATTCCCAGTTTGTGACCATTGCTGTAGACTTATTTCAGGTACTTTGTTCATGAATTACGTTGTCTGATTCTAATGGAGTTCTGTCTTTTTCAGCATTTTGTGTGTTGACTGAATGCAGCACCTCAGTTATAGTGCTGCATCCAGTCTGCCTTAGTTTTAATATGCGTTTCTTTTCTAATACATTAGAAACATTTTGATGGCATGGGTTGGGTCTTAATCCTGCACTTAGTATATATCAGTACATACCTATGGCGTGTGTGTACATATGTGTGAGATGTATTGATTTTCTACCCCGATAATCCTTGGTTATCCTGGAAACTAGTGTCTGTTCTTTGTAGAAACACTAATAGTATGTTGGCTTTAATTGCCAAAGAGCTCTACATCTGGAAGGAATTGAATTGAGTAACATTGGTATTCAGAAGTTGATCTGACATAAATCCCATCTGATGGCTTAAATTTCATAATGTCCTGGAAAAATTGAAGTAGGAATGATTAATAACTAAAAAGATTTTTAAGGACAATCAATAAAAGGAAAAATTGGTAAATTATACCTCATTAAAATTAAAGACTTGCTCCGAAAGGCCCTATGAAGACAATTAAAAGATAAGCTACAGACTGGAAAAAAAATATTTGTAAACCACATATACAGAATATATGAAGAGCTCTCAAAACTCAAACAGTAAAAAAAAAAAAAAATCTCATTAGAAAATGGGCAAAAGATACAAAGATATTTCACTGACAAGGATATACAGGTGGCGTATAAGCACATGAAAAGATGTTCAACCTTATTAGGTCTTAGAGAAATGCAACTGAAATCCACAATGAGATATCACCACATAACCGTCAGAGTGGCTCAATTAAAAAATGGCGACAGTGTCAAATGCTGGCAAGAATGCAGAAAAACTTGATCACTCATACATTGCTAGTGGAAATGTAAAATGGTGTAGCTAGTCTGGAAAAGCGTATGGCAGTTTCTTGTAAAACTAAACATGAACTTAACCATATGACTCAACAATTGTACTCTTGGTCATTTACCCCAGAGAAATGAAAGCTTATGTTCCCCCAAAAACCTATACATGAACTTTCATGGCTGTTTTATTTAAAATAGTCCCAAACTGGAAACAATACAGATATCCTTCAATGGATAAATGGGTAAACTGTGATACATCTATACTATGGAATACTACCCAGAAATAAAAAGGAAGGAATATTGATACACACAACTTAAATGGATCTTGAGGGGCTTATGCTGAGTGAAAAAAGTCAATAGATAACATGCTGTATGATTTCATTTATATAACATCTTGAAATGACAAAATTACAGAGATGAAGAACACCTGTCCATCAGAGCGATCAGTAGTTGCTTTGGGTTGGAAGGAGTGTGGCAAGTGGTTATGGCCAAAAAAGGATAGCACAAGGGAATCCTTGTGATTGAACTGTTCTGTATCTTGATTGTGATAGTCGCACAAAGCTCTACATGTGATAAAATTTTATAGGACTAAATACAAATAAGTGCATGTAAAACTGATGAAATCTGAATGAGATCAGTGGATAGCATTGATCTCAGTTTCCTGGTTGTGATATTATATTTGTGTAAGTTTTACAATTGGGGGAAACTGGATGTAGGTATGTGGGATCTCTGCATTATTCCTTGTACTTGTATGTGAATCTATGATAATCTCAAACTAAAAAGTTTAAACAAATACTTTATACCAAAGAAGCCTATATAAAAGGTTTTTTTTTTTTTTGGGTGGGGGGCTTTAATTTTACCAGGTGATGTTCTAATCATGTCAGATAAAGATGATATTGAGACTCCACTGCTAACTGAAGCAGCCCCCATCCTTGAAGATGGAAACTGTGAGCCAGCCAAGAATTCTGAGTTTGTTGACCAAGGTGCCAAGCCAGAGAGTAAATCAGAACCTGTAGTTTCCACTCGGAAAAGACCAGAGACCAAACCTTCCAGTGACCTTGAGACTTCAAAAGTTCTCCCTATTCAGGTATCACAGACCACAGACAAAATAGGGTATCTATGAAAATACTAGGATTAAAAAGTGTTGGGGCTAAAAGAAATTTGGCATAAATACCAATTTAGAATTGCTCTTATTTTTTTGTCTTTACAACCTAAAATATAGTCTTTTCCATGCTATAAATGTCTTTATGAATAATTGCTTTTGCTACATGGTGCTTACATACTGATAGCATATATCTGCCAGTCAAGCAATACATTTTTTTAGCTAAATAATATGTATTTGTTCACCCATGCTTTTGGCTAATAATTAGATACTTTGTCCGTACATTCTCATTTTCCTCTAATTTTTTTCATTTTTCTTTGCCTTTTGTTTTTCTGCCTACTGGGAAATTAGGATAATGTTTCCAAAGATGTACCCCAGACCAGGTGGGGTTATTGGGGGAGCTGGGGCAAGTCTATACTCTCTTCAGCCTCGGCCACGGTTGCCACAGTAGGTAAGATCATCAGTCATTTAGTTATTTTTATGTGTGTATTTTATATGGATCTGTGTTGCATATGACTTTGTTAAAAATCTTTTTCCTTCCATGTTTACTCGAAGGCTTTATAGTTTGAGGATGCATTAGTAATGATGGGCTGATGTATACTGCCACTAGAGTTTGTAGCATTTCCTCGTTAGAATATTGAGTCTATGTTCTTGAACTTTTTTGTTTTTTTTAGGAATATGGATTGTACATTGTCAATATGTTTGGTCATAAATGATTTTATTTAAATTTAAATCATTTAAATCAACTTGATTTAAATCTTCAAGTTTGAATTTTGGTTTGTTTCTTCAGTTTTGGTGACAAATAGCAAAAAAAAGTTATCATTTTTCTCATTAGGACAAGGTATTTCAAATGTCATCGAGAAGGCAGAGACTTCCCTTGGAATCCCTAGTCCCAGTGAAATTTCAACTGAAGTCAAGTGTGTAGCAGGTCAGTATATGGAAGCATAAAGACCTAGAATTATGAATTGAAATGGAGCAGTTGAACTAATTTTTCAGTAGGTATTTATTGGACATCTGATACTCAGGGCATCATGGGACTGTAGTGAGAAACAATTTAGAATCTTTAGCTCCCAGTTAGACATCTATGTCATTTAATCGCTTATGTGTCCCTTCACTTCACTTTCCACATCTGAAATAGAATATTTTATATCTCAAGTGATTGTTGTAAATATTTAACAAATAAGGCCATGAATATACAATATAAAAATTGCTTAGCATTTTGCTTGGCATAATTGAATGAGAGACCAGTAAGAGTTAGCTGAATCTGAGTCTGGTGTGACACAAGAAAAATATTTTAATGTATTGTTTTGGGTGTGTATTCTTTTTGTGTTCAGATTTTTATGAAGACTAAGTTTAATTCTAGAGGCTGGCCTTGATCGGACAGAAACCTGCTCTCAAACCATGAAGGCTAGAATTATAACCAGAAATCTAGAGGGCCTGGGACCAGAAAATATAAATCTTTTCAAGGCCTTGTTTGTATTCATCTCTCATGGGCTTTATTGTCTTTCTTGTTTCTTTTTGTTGATCTGTCTGTTTTTTTCTTGAAGCAGACTGACTTTCGCTGTTTATTTTCCTCAGCTCCAGCTTTATATTGAATTCTGGCATCAGTTATTTCCACTTCTGAGTTCCTAGGTAAAAGAATTAGATCAGTCTAAATTTGGGTCATGTGTCCATGGATCGCTTATGGCTAGGAGACAAGTTACATTGCATAAACATGGCTGCAAAGGACTATGTATGTGAATTGAAGGCACTGTTCTTAGTGATGCCTGCATCAGTTAAACTATTTTAGCTGCAAGTAACAGAATGTGTGAATGAAAGTCAGTGTATTTTTCTTACTTAAGGAGTCTAGAAGTAGGCTGTTCCAGAGTTAGTTTAGTGGCTCAATGATGTCAAGGTTTTGGGCTGGCTTCTCTACAGTATTCTCTGTTGATTTCTGTATAGTTACTTTATGGTTGCCTGATAATACTGCAGCTCCAAGTACAGTGTTCTAAAACAACCATGCTCAAAGTCAGGAATGAAGTAGATGGGAAGTGTCATTTCTCCTCACGCATCCCTCTTTCTTTAAAGAGGGGAAATGTTTTCCAGCAGTCCCAAGCGTGTTTCTTCTCCAATGCCATTGCCTGGAACAGGATCTCATGTTCTTGATGTAGCAGCAAGAGGTGCTGAGAGAGTGAGTTGTGGGCATTATCAGAAACCTCAAGATCAGGATATGGGTTTAGCAGGCAAGGAAAAAGGGGGTTAGAAGTGGCTTTGAATATGTTAACAACAGCATCTTCATGACACTGAAAGATACCTACCACAGAGGGCCATGTTTTAAGAAGGACTTTGAAAAACTGGGTGAATCCTGAAAAGAGTGAGCTAGATAGTATAAATCAGAAAGTATCTGAGACAGGTCTCAATCAAGTTAGAGGTTTATTTTGCTAAGTTTGAGGATACACCTGGGAAAAAGGAACACAAACCACAGAAACAGTCTATCTTCCATACTCTTTTTGAAGAGGGTCTGGGGACTTCAATATTTAAAGGAGAAAGAGTGGGCTGTAGGGGAAAGAGGAAGAAAAGAAAGGGGAGGGTAGATAAGAGGGGCAAGTGGTTGCCTTCTTTTGAATCTTTGGTCAGTGTTCACTGAATCCACATTTTATGTGTAAAAGGAAAGAGCAGAGGTAGAGTAAATTATGTATGTGTCTTACGCTCAGTAAATTGGCAGTTTACATGAGATAAAGTAAACGTAGAGTAGCTACCTGTGGAAACATCTGGCCTTCTGTCTGGCCTTTCTGCTTAGGAACAAAAGGAAAGGCAGTTTTTTGTGTAACTGAGCTTTCAGCTTAACTTTATCTTTTGGCATAGTAAATTTGGGGTCCTGAGGTTTTATTTTCTTTCACAATAGTGAAATGTCTAGAATTAAAGTCTTATGAGAGAAAGTCTTATAAGAGATATTGAATCTGGTAATCTGGAGAAGGGAGATTGGGAGAATATACTGGTCTTTTTTCTGAAGAATAGCATGGAGAAGAAGATTAGGTTTATTATTCATGGTTTATTGGGAGAGAACTAGTAACTAGTACTACTCAGTGGAAGTTATATGGAGTTAAGTTTTAGTTTAATAAAGAGTTTAACAGGGAGAACTTTTCAAAATTACAATGGACTGCCTTTTGATACTAAACCCCTTCTATCTTCTAAAGTTCCTGAGGAAGGAGGTTAATTCCTCTGCCAAGGATATGTCTTATAGTCAACATGTATCTTTTCAGAATTTTGAGATAAGTATAGGCCACTGATGGAAGTCACTGATCATCTGTTAGGGATTTTGTTGTCTTCCTTTAAAGGGTACTATCTTCTGCTTTCCTTTTGTCAGCGGGCATTTAAGGTATTTGCAACTTAAATTGATGCTTTTAAGGCTTTTTTTTCTTTTTCTTTTTTTTTTTGAGACAGAGTCTCACTCTGTCGCCCAGGCTGTAGTGCAGTGGTACCATCTCAGCTCACTGCAACCTCTGCCTCCTGGGTTCAAGCTCTTCTCCTGCCTTAGCCTCCCAAGTAGCTGGGATTGCAAGCATGCGCCACCATGCCCGGCTAATTTTAGTATTTTTAGTAGAGGTGAGGTTTTGCCATGTTGGCCAGGCTGGTCTCAAACTCCTGACCTCAAGTGATTCTCCTGCCTCGGCCTCCCAAAGTACTGGGATTACAGGTGTGAGCTGCCATGCCTGGCCAAGGCTTTTTATAAAGCTTGTTTAGGGTGAGTCTAGAGTGGCCTTTACTCCAACTAAGTACTATTTATCTTTACTGCTAAGGCTTGACTCTTCTGAAGTCTCTACCTTAATTCCCAGGTGTTTAATAAAGTCTCTGCTTTGGTGGTTGGAAGTCAGATGTTTCTCAGCATGATCTCTGGGGATTGCTAAGCTTATAGCTCTGTGGTAGTTCTTTGTACAGACTCGTGGAGTCTCCCAGTGCCTGAGCAGTGCGGTATTTAAGCAAAAACACCTGAAGTTGTCTTTGGGCATGCCTATGCGGGTTCTTAGAACTCTTTAGCTATGTAGCTTCCTTCTCTGTGGTTTTCTGACCTGCAAATTCCGATTGCTTCAGCATTCCCAGATTCCAGTCTCCGTTTCTTCCACTCATACTGGTTGCCATGCCCTCCTTGGGTTTCTCCTCCCTCTGTCATGGCCTGGAAAGCTCCTCTATACAGAAAGCCAAGCCAATTGTAAAGTTTACTTTTTTTTTTCTTGTGTGAACCAAAGTCTTGTACTGCCTATTGTCCTATGTCTGAAGACAGTTGCTTCTTATATATTGTCCAGTTTTTCAGTTGTTGTGGCAGGAGGGCGTATCTAATACCAGTTAATCTATTATGGCTGGAAGTGGAAGTCCTCTCGATAATAGAGTATTTAATAATACTTAAATTATTTGGTATAATGGTTGTTTTCCTATGTGAAATTTTTAAAGTTAATAGATTTTTTTTTTAAATATACCCATCTTTGTAATGTATGTCTGTTTGATTTCTACTAATCATAATTTTCTAGGACAAAATTTAAAATAGACTGGATTTTTAAAAATCAGGTTTATTGAGTTATAATTTACACACAGTAAAATTTATTCTTTTTAGATGTACAGTTTTACATGTTTTGACCAGTATATATACTTCTGTTTATACTATGTAATCATAGTACACTGTGATTATGCAGATATAGAAAACATTCTTTATAGAATGATCAATACAGATATATGGAATGTTTCTTATATCTGTATAGATAATTGAGACATAAGAATATTTTTATTACCCCAAAAAAGTTCTCTCATGCCCTTTTGTAGTCACTCTGCTTCACTTACTGTCAGTTCTCAGCAATTACTGATCTTATAGTTTTCTGACCTTATAGTTTGACTTTGTCCTGAAGATTATATAATTGGAATCATACAACATGTAGTCTGTTGTATATATCAGCTGTTTGTTTACAAAACTGGATTTTATTTTTGAAATGAAATGAAAATGAAAACTGCCTATCTTAGCTTTCATTTTAAAATAAGCAAATGGTTTAAAATGATAAAAAGGGCTAAAGCCTTGTGTGTAGTAGGCAGGGTCTAGTTTTAAAAAATTCACATAGATGCTAATAAAGCATAAGAGTTAAGGGACCTGTGCTTCATGTTTACACATCCCCTCCCTCTTGTAGGAGAGACAAATGCCAAAGAGAATGAAAACTTCTCCCCAGTGGCTGGGGCATTTGGTGTATTCTCAACTATCTCTACTGCTGTTCAGAGCACAGTAAGTAAAAAAGTGCAAGGTGGCCTGTTCCTTTCCATAATTATAATGAATTTGCATATCTTTCTCTCTCTTTTCTTTGAACATACATGTGGACTGATTACTTTTAAAGGAGTCCAGGCCACTGAAGACCAGTCACTTTGGTCTTCTGGGTGGAGTGAATGCTACTTGAAAACTTTCATTAAAGCAATAAGGATGAAAGTAGGAAATAAAGGAGTATCAATAAGGGAGTAGGAGTTACAGAGAGGCAATATATGTATTACGAATTCTTAATTTGGTGGCCCTAAAAAAATGTCTGCTTTACAAAAATATTTTTCTCATAGTTGCATCTTTTAGGCAAAGGGGAAATGTGATCTTTTTGACAGATATTTGCGAAACTATATATGATTAAAAAGATTTGTGAAAGGATTGTCTAGGAAGCTAAATATCTTTGCTACATGAGGATAGATAGCTAGTATTTTTTTAAATTTTAACTTTTTATTGAAATATACATACAGAAGAATGAAACAATAAGTGTTGTTTGAATTTTCAGCGTGAAGCACCCAGAGTAAGAAACAGTATTACCGTACAGCAGATCCCTCCACCATCTTGTGTCCTCTCCCAGTTTCCTGTGTCTTCCCCTCTCCTGCACCAAGATAACCATAATCCTGACCTCTACCATCATAGGTTAATTTTACCTGCATTTCAGCTTTACATAAGTGGTATCACATATAGTAGCTAACTTCTTTCACACAACATTATGTTTGTATAATGTATCTATGGTGGAGTTTGTGTGGAAGATTTGATTTTCTTTGTTGTATTTCATTGTGAAGTTTTGTCACGTTTTATTTATTCATTTCATAGTTGGTGAGCATTGGGGTAGTTTTCAGTTTGTAGCTATTACAAAGAGCTGTTATGAACATTTTTGTACATGTCTTCTGATGAACCTCTGTACTTATTTCTGTTAGGATGTAACCATGAGTGGAATTGCTGGGTCATGCAGCTGTAGTAGATGTTGACAAACAGTTTTCCAACGAAGTTATACCTATTTACATTCCCATAAGCAGTGTGCGATTGTTTTATTTGCCTTACATTCTTGCCAATGCTTGGTATTGTTAGCCACTATTTTTATATAATAATAAAAATATGCATACCGTTATGTTTTCTCAATATTGTTGTAATGAGGTTTCGTGTATTTTCTAGGGAAAGAGTGTTATCAGTGGGGGTTTGGATGCCTTAGAATTCATTGGAAAAAAGACAATGGATGTGATAGCTGAAGGGGATCCTGGATTTAAAAGAACCAAGGGTCTGATGAACCGAAATGCTACACTATCTCAGGTACTGATTATCTTTACCTGTTTACTTCCTGTTTCTGTTTTGATCTGTATTTTTGCCTTTGTTTACTTGGAACCTTGTTAGTGTTTTCAAGAATTTTCAATAATATTTTTATTAAGGCGTTTTTTTGGGGGGTCAGGGATTGGTGAGAGCTCTACTGTTTACAGAAATACCCAGCTGTTTTTTCCTCCTGTTTCCTTTCTGCAGGATCCTCCCATCAGTGCAGTACAAAATGCTAAACCTTGTCAGGTTTTTTTTTTTTCTTTTTAATGTTTAAATCACTTTCAGAGAAACTGGTTCCTTGGGTGTTATTTGCACTTTCTAGGATCAAATTATGTGACCAGGCACGGTGGCTCACAGCTGTAATCCCAGCACTTTGGGAGGCCGAGGCAGGTGGATCAGTTGAGGTCAGGAGTTCAAGATCAACCTGGCCAACATAATGAAACCCCGTCTCTTCTAAAAATACAAAAATTAGCTGGGCATGGTGGCATATGCCTATAATCCCAGCTACTCGGGAGGCTGAAACACGAGAATAGCTTAAACCCAGGAGGCAGAGGTTGCAGTGAGCAGAGACGTGCCACTGCACTCCAGCCTGGGTGACAGAGTGAAACACCGTCTCAAATTATGTGTGATCATCTTTCTTTCTGTAGCTCCTGAGTCTACCAGATTTGAATTGCAATGCCAAGAATGAAAGGGCAATCCTCTGTACTGTAATATGTCTAAGCTTTGCTTCCTTCAATTCTCAGAACTCATCCTTGAGCTCTCATTGTTTGCTACAGTGTAATGCCTCCATCTCTTTTTAGGTTTTACGAGAGGCGAAGGAGAAAGAAGAGATATGGAACTCCAATGAGGTTACTATGGAAACAGAAAAGAAAACTCATTATGGGTTACTCTTTGATGAATTTCAAGGCCTTTCACATCTAGAAGCTCTGGAGATGCTTTCCCGAGAAAGTGAAATAAAGGTAATTCCAAGCCAAAATCTCAACTGGAAAAAGTCTTCAAGTAAAAGAATGCTGCATAGTTTCTTTTCTCTTTGTACATTCGGAAGATGAAATGTATTTTTGATAGTGGCTTGAGATGTGTTGGAAATACTACCACTAAATAAATTTAAAAACTGATGTTTGACTGAACTAATTGCTAGAAATAGAATTAGTCAAGTATTATTTCTTTAAATTTAGACGAAAAAGGCAGATTAACAAACAGGTCTTAATAGGACATTTGTTGTTTTTTCTTCGCTTTGGTTTTTGTTTTGTTTTGTTTTTACTTTTTTTGACCTAGGCTGCCAAGAAACCTGTTGACTTGAGCTGCCAATTTGTGTACAGTTACCTGTTAGCTTTTAATTGATTTGAGATTATCTCATTTTTCTGTGATTTCTAAGCCGTTGTTAAACACTGATAATTTCCAGGAATTTCTGGCTAGTATTACTTTTAGAAGTACAGAGTCTCCCTACCTTTCTGTCATAACCAGCCTCTTGTGTTAAGGTTCTTAAGGAATAACTTGTGCTGACTGGTCAGCTCGTAATTTTGACTTCAATATGATCTATATATAGTCTCTTCCTCATCTGTGAATGTTTTTCTTTTCTTTCATACTCCTGTAACATTTTATTCTTATATCCATTCAGGTGAAATCTATCCTTAATTCTCTGAGTGGAGAAGAATTAGAAACTCTAAAAGTTGAATTAGAGCAACTCAAAGAAGCATTTTCTCTAGCAGAATTTTGTGAAGAAGAGGAAGAAGAGAAAAAAGGTAATACTGAAATTTAGTATCTGAGTGGAGAGGATGCAGTGTGTTTGTATGCATTGCATTGCCCTTGAAATAAATTATTTACTCTCTTATTACACTGGCTTGATTTTACTTTTTCAGTGAAAATTTAATGCAGATTCTCTGTGTAAAATTCTCTACAGCCTTGCACCTGACTACGCATTGATGGGGGCAGTTGGCCTTATGCCCGTGTCTCCCTACCTCCTTCCAACCAAACTCTTTGTGACTTCTCAAGGTCTAATCTTGCAACTCATGTCTTTGCCTGTTTTTGCAGTTAGAAAGCTGTTCTCTTCAGATTGTTGCCTCAGTTTGACTGGTCATTCATATGAGCTTTTATATTCCTAGGTACTTTACCTCTGCCTCTCTGACTCTCGTAACCCCTGATTCTGTCTTGAATTGAGGCATGCAGGGTGGCAGTTATCCATAATGTGGGTGATAGTTTGTCTTTTTTTATTTTGAAAACCCTTATGCCATATTTTAATATCTTCTTTCTCAGAAAATGTAAATACTATGTGTATTTGCAAAATTATCAGAAAATGAGATGGGTCAGGAAATGAGATGACTGACATAAAGCATAATTGCCAGGCAACTGAATGTTAAGTTCTAAGGATTGTTTTATTAACATTTTAGCAGGAAATATTTCTAAGCTATACACTAACTGATCTTTTTTTAAAAAGTGGAATCTAACGAATACAGTTTTGCCTTTTCTTGATGAAATAATCAGTTTTAAACTTTAAAAGTGAATGGAAAAATTCTCTCAGGTTTCATTAAGACGTAGAGATAATCACCCATGTAGTAGGTTAAATCAATGATGAACAAAGTGTGGTCTGTAGACCCTTGAATTCCCAAAACCCTTTCAGGGCGTCTATGAGTCAAAACTCTGCATCATAATACTAAGATGTTGTCTGCTTAGGAATTTTTAAAAAATTATTATGATTTTTTTTTTTCTGCTTTGGCATTTGTGCTGATGGTGAATAACAATCATGCATAAAATTGCTGGTGCCATAACATGGATCAAGATGTTAGCAAAGTCTACTAGTGTCATTGCATTTTTATTGCCATGCATTGGCAGTTAAAAAAAAAAAAAAAGTGCCAGGTTTATTTAATCTTGTCCTTGATGATGCAGTAAACATTATTACTTTTATTAAATCTTGACCTTTAAATATGCGTCTTACAAATGTTCCGTGTGATGCCTACTGAAGTATGATGTTTGTCTCAGGAAAAGCACTTACATTATTTGAGTTGTGAGCTGAACTACATGCTTTTTTCATGGAATACCATTTTTACTTGAAAGGATAACAGTCACAGAGACTACTCAGAATAGGACAGTTGGTACACATTTTCCTGAAAATGAATGAAGTGAGCCTTTTCTTCAAGGAAAGCAACTAATTTATTTGTGACTCATGATAAAAATGTAAGTGAAGGTTGAAACTTTGTAAAACTTATTTGCTGCTGTGGTGAGCTTGACAGCTTCCCAGTGCTTATAGACTCTTCTGATGAAATTTGTGGTGATCATATTTGTTAAAATATGATCACTTTTTTATATTTTACAAGGAAATGTATTGGCATTTGGAAAATCTGCGTAACTCAGAGAACCAATATATTCTAAATGTCAAATCACCATGGGTAAAAGACCTAATGGATTTTAATTTAGTGTACAAAATTTTATGTTACGGTTTCAGGTATATTGCAATATAGTTCATTGCAACTAATTTTTAAGAAATGACCACTTGTTGAGTTTTGGTGTGGTATTAAAGAATATTAATAATTATCTGAAAAGGCTATTAAAATACTTCTTCCCTTTCCAACTATGTATCTTTGTAAAGTTGAATTTTCTTCATATACTTAAACAAAGCAACATAACAGACTGAATATAAAAGTAGATAAGAGAATTTAGCTATCATCTGTTGAGCTAGATATTAAAGAGATTCAACCATGATATTAAATGATGGCACTATTCTCACTAAAATTTTTCTTTTTTGAAAAATACAGTTTTTAAAAATAAAAAGTATGTTATTTATGTTAACTAGTGTGGGTTTACTGTTTCGAATGAATTAATGAACACTTTGTTTTATAACTTTTCATATGTATATGTATATGTATAAAACTTACACTAAAAAAGCTCTTTAATGTTCTCAGAAAGTTTTACAACAAGGTCCTGAGACCAACAAGTTTGAGAATTACCAGATTAAATAACCTAAACTGCAATGCTTTTTAAAAATGTTTCTGATTGCTTTTTAGAATTTGTACGTCTTTATTTCTTTCTGTTCATTTATCTGTTCATCTTTTACTTCACTGTTAGTGAGCTGGCTTCTGATATCCCATGAATCTCATTTGGTTTTCTATTTCCAATCTGTGGGTGAGAAACAAGGTGACTAGTTTTATTCAAGATGTCTGTTAAAAGCAAAGAGCTCTGAGTGAGGGTCTTAGAGTTTTTCCTGTGACAGGAAACATAAAGTTAAGTGTGTGGATTCTCTAAAAACAGGGACTTTTTTTTCTTTTTCTTTTAAAATCACTTAAGGAGAAGAAATATACATTTATATCATTTATAATTACATAGTTACGTTTACCAATGCTCTTTGTCTTTTGTTGTTTTTTTTCAATTTTTTTATTTCCATAGGTTATCAGGGAACAGGTGGTGTTTGGTTACATGAGTAAGTTCTTTAGAGGTGATTTGTGAGAATTTGGTGCACCCATCACCCGAGCAGTATACACTGCACCCAGTTTGTGCACCTGAGCAGTATACACCACACTCCCTTCCCATCCTTTCCCCACCGAGTCCCCAAAGCCCATTGTGTCATTCTTAAGCCTTTGCATCCTCATAGCTTAGCTCCTACTTATTAATGAGAACATATGATGTTTGGTTTTCCATTCCTGAGTTACTTCACTTAGAATAATAGCCTTCAGTCTCATCCAGGTCACTGCGAATGTGTTAATTCATTCCTTTTTATGGCTGTGTAGTATTCTATCATATATGTATATATATGTCACAGTTTCTTTATCTACTCATTGATGGGCATTTGAGTTGGTTCCACATTTTTACAAGTGTGAATTGTGCTGCTATAAACATGCGTGTGCAAGTATCTTTTTCTTTTATTTTTTCTTTTATTATTATACTTTTACGTTCTAGGGTACATGTGCACAACGTGCAGGCCTCTAACATATGTATACATGTGCTGTGTTGGTTTGCTGCACCCATCAACTCGTCATTTACATTAGGCACTTCTCCCAACGCTATCCCTCCCCCATTCCCCTGCTCCATGACAGGCCCCATTGTGTGATGTTCCCCACCCTGTGTCCAAGTGTTCTCATTGTTCAGTTCCCACCTATGAGTGAGAACATGTGGTGTTTGGTTTTCTGTCCTTGTGATGGTTTGCTCAGAATGATGGTTTCCAGCTTCATCCATATCGCTACAAAGGACATGAACTCATCCTTTTTATTGACTGCATAGTATTCCGTGGTATATATGTGCCACATTTTCTTAATCCAGTCTATCATTGATGGACATTTGGGTTGATTTCAAGTCTTTGCTATTGTGAATAGCACCACAATAAACATATGTGGGCATTTGTCCTTATAGCAGCATGATTTATAATCCTTTGGGTATATACCCAGTAATGGGATCACTGGATCAAATGGTATTTCTAGTTCTAGACCCTTGAGGAATCACCACACTGTCTTCCACAATGATTGAACTAGTTTACACTCCCAGCAACATTGTAAAAGCATTCCTATTTCTCCACATCCTCTCCAGCATCTGTTGTTTCCTGACTTGTTAATGATCACCATTCTAACTGGTGTGCGATGGTATCTCATTGTGGTTTTGATTTGCATTTCTCTGATGACAAGTGATGATGAGCATTTTTTCATGTGTCTCTTGGCTCCATAAATGTCTTCTTTTGAGAAGTGTCTGTTCATATCCTTTGCCCACTTTTTGATGGGGTTGTTTGATTTTGTCTTCTAAATTTGTTTAAGTTCTTTGTAAATTCTGGATATTAGCCCTTTGTCAGATGGGTAGATTGCAAAAATGTTCTCCCATTCTGTAGGTTGCCTGTTCACTCCAATGGTAGTTTCTTTTGCTGTGCAGAAGCTCTTTAGTTTAATTAGATCCCATTTGTCAATTTTGGCTTTTGTTGCCATTGCTTTTGGTGTTTTAGTCATGAAGTCCTTGCCCGTGCCTAGGTCCTGAATGGTATTGCCTAGGTTTTCTTCTAGGGTTTTTATGGGTTTAGGTCTAATATTTAAGTCTTTAATCCATCTTGAATTAATTTTTGTGTAAGGCATAAGGAAAGGATCCAGTTCCTTCAAACTATACTACCTATATATAGTATAGTTTGAAGTTGGGTGGCATGATGCCTCCAACTTTGTGCTTTTTGCTTAGGATCGTCTTGGCGATGTGGGCTCTTTTTTGGTTTCATATGAACTTTACAGTAGTTTTTTCCAATTCTGTGAAGAAAGTAATTGGTAGCTTAATGGGGATGGCATTGAATCTATAAGTTACCTTGGGCAGTATGGCCATTTTCACAATATTGATTCTTCCTCTCTATGAGCATGGAATGTTCTTCCATTTGTTTGTATCCTGTATCTCTTACTTCATTGAGCAGTGGTTTGTAGCTCTCCTTGAAGAGGTCCTTCTCATCCCTTGTAAGTTGGATTCTTAGGTATTTTATTCTCTTTGTAGCAATTGTGAATGGGAGTTCACTCATGATTTGGCTCTCTGTCTGTTATTGATGTATAAAAATGCTTGTGATTTTTGCACGTTGATTTTGTATCCTGAGACTTTGCTGAAGTTGCTTATCAGCTTAAGGAGATTTTGGGCTGAGATGATGGGGTTTTTTAAATATACAATCATGTCATCTGCAAACAGGGACAATTTGACTTCCTCTTTTCCTAATTGAAAACCCTTTATTTGTTTCTCCTCCTGAGTGCCTTGGTCAGAACTTCCAACACTATGTTGAATAGGAGTGGTGAGAGAGGGCATCCCT